ACAGTGTATGTAATGACTTATAAACCGTTTTCCTCTTTTGTCCAATCTAGTTTACAACTAATGTTTTGCTAACTGAAAAGCTTTTTGTGAAAACAGCTGCTGACAGACAATTCGAGACTGACTGACAACGACTCACCTGAATGAGCCAGGAAATTGTTCGACTCACCTGAGGTGGTCCTGTATTCAGTTGATGGTTGAAACTCTGAAAATGAGAGTGGAAGAGGTTTAACCTTTGCAAAGCTAAGCAGTATGACTAAATATATTGTATATGCGGTGTCAGTAACAAAACTGAATTCGTAACCAAGGTGAGCAAGGTGAACAAGCAATCAGCCAACCAACCAAGCAGCCCACCAACATGCCAGTCAGCGAACCAACCAGCCAGTCAGCCAGCCAGCCAGCCCCTTGTCAGTCAGTCAATCAGTCATCCAACCGACTAAACAACCAGCCAACTAACTAAATGACATGCCTCTCAATCACGCATGCAGTCAACCTGCCAGCCAAACAACCAACCAGCCATCAAGTGCATTTTGTTCACGGTTTACATTTGACCATAAAGTTTTCTTACGATACCTGTAGTTGGCTGAGCAAATACTTTCAAGTCGATGGTAGCTTTAGTGGTGTTTCTGTCCTTGCAGAAGAAGTCACATCTGTATGTACCCTCGTCATTTTCTGTAACATTAAAAATAGAAAGGACGAGCTCTTTCTTGCATTGGCTGCCAGTGTCTTCTAAAGATTGATTATGTTTTGTGCCATTTCTTGGTAATGACCATAGCTGATATTCTGGGCAATATGGATTGTCAGGATTCCAATCAATCAAGCACGTCAGGTTCACATTGGAAAATATCCTTACTGAAACCTCCGTATCAGAAATGGTCGGGCCTTCTGGTATTGGACCTGTATTCAGTAAAAAAAAGAAACAATTCCCAATAAAACTGAGTTCAAAGCGATTGTACATGTTAAAAAATAACAACGAATTTTTCGTATGTAACAAGCCCGATGGATCACACACATCATGTCCGGTCACAAGACATGCTGTGAAATGGAACCCCTTGAGACTGGAGACACTGATGAACGAGGACAACACAACAAAAGATGACAGAAAGAAATAGAGGACAGTAGCACGTTACTCTCCTTCTACACCCAAGGAGCATTTCCGCCACATGTATTTTTCGGTAATTGATGTGACAACAGAGTGTATTCGTACTGGATTTAACCAGAAGGATTTCACACTCTACCAAGGCATCTGAAGCATACAGGAACTCCTTTTGAAGGCGGTAGCAGGCGAAAACCACGAAGAGGAACTAACGAAAGTGAGTGGCCGTGTAGAAGGATACTGACTAGCCGCAGTACAAGCAAGACTGACTCTAGCCGTCTCCTCTTCCAGACATGATGTAATCAATGGATTACTGACACCTCCTGATTCGACACTGTTGATTTGCTGAAGTTTTTTTCAGTCACTCGGAAAAGCCGTCTCAAACTCCTTCTTAGTGGGATTTGCACACTTGGTGAGCTTGATATAAAAGTCTTGCCGCCTACCATTGTCGTCAACTGACCGAGCTCTCTATTTTTCGCCTTTAAGCAGGTCACGACCTACCTAACGTCAACCACGAGATAAACCAGTCTCAACCACCTCACGCCTCTGCCTCTAAGGAACTAGCCTGCGAACGCAGACGTATTTCCGGCTGTCACTTGGTTCCACCGAAAAATAACGTCTGCGAACCCGGGCCAGAAAACGATTTCTGTGACGTAGGAATTCTAAGCCAATCACAGTTTAGCTCAAATAACCCCAGAACTATTGCGCGAGGTGTTCGCTGCGAGGAGCGCTCGAGTTTCATTCTATCATGGAATCTGATTGGCCAAGGAGAAACAAAAGGCATTACGTCACAGAAATCGTTTCCTAGCTCGGGTTCGCAGACGTTATTTTTCGGCGAAACCAAGTGACAGCCGGAAATATGTCTGCGTTCGCAGGCTACTAAGGAACCTCAGAAAGTCTGAAATGACCACGAACTTACCCTGATGACTCTGACAGGCGAAAGAATTGGTGGTTCCAAGATACAGGGAACATTCCAATGGGTTTGCGGGACCCAAAACCCTCTACTTTTAAAATACAACAAGTTACTTAAAACCTTTGTGCCCCTTCCCCCAGTTTCTCAAGGCTTGGTACGACCCTGTATTTTGCTTTCTTAAAAGACCCATTGAGTAGGAAATACCTGTTTTAGCTGGACTGACTTAACAACATAACTTACACTCAAAATACATTTCTATCCGACGAGAGTTGTTGCTTGACCAGCCAGGAATACCGTTTGTTGCATTGCACACATAGACACCTTCCTGGTCCTCACGTCCGGGTGGAAGACGAAGTTTGCTTTGCAGCTTTAAGTGTCCCTTCCTCTGCAGTAAATGATAAATGCCTTCAGTTCCGTTGGTTATTAGTTTGCTGTTCTTGAGCCAATAAACTGTATGAGGGAGGGGCCAACCTTTGAAAGTGCATAATAAGTCCCTTTTCTTTCCTTTGATGATATCATTTGGCGAACTTGTAAATGGCCTTACAATCTCCAATGCGCCTAAAGAAAAGAGCAAGTAGATATTTTACTGAGTTTAAATATGTNAAAAAATTACTCGATTCTGATTGGCTGAGAGCAGTGCAGTTCAAGTGTAACACCGGTGCAAAAAGTGTAACACCAGTGCAAGTTACACATCGTAATTCTGAGTTATGATAGGTTGAGAGACAAAAGGAAATTTTCTATGCCAATGATATAACATAAAATGATGACGAAAATTTTTTGCGGAAACTTTGAAAAAAGTTTTCTCGAATGAGAAAAAATGGCTTCAAGAAAGATCTTCTGGCACTTTCACCACGCGAATTTTTTCATGTTTATATTGTTAATAAGTAATCATACGGTTTTTCTCGTTCAATTTGGAATTAATTTGCACTTGTGAGTTTTTCAAAGAGCAGAAATTGCACTCGCCGAAGCGGCTTGTGCAATTTCAGCTTTTTCAAAAACTCACTCGTGCAAATTAATTCCAAATTGAACTCGAAACCGTATGATAACCTATACTAAAAAGGAGATATCTGAGTAATTAGGCCAGCTTATACAGGATTCTAGATTCCTTATTTTAAATAAACTGTTTGAGATAAGATGCAAAATACATAGAAAACTAGCATAGCCAAATCGCAACAACATTAAGTGATCAGAAAACTATAAAAATTTATCCTTACTTAAGTTAAATTTACTAATATAAATAGATAAATATTTATATAAATATAAGTATTAAGAAATTTATACGTAGCAAATCAGTACATTGTCAACACTGACAGCTATAAATCTGTAGTTACAGCGAGCCATATAAATGTAATTCTACTCATAACTAAGTTCTACTCGAGCAAAAAGATTGATGCAAAATGCGCAATACGCGCGTCATTATAAATTAGACATAGCAGATCTGGCCATGAAATATCCTGCAACATTACAGTCCCTGCACGACCTCAACAGCAAATATTTTAGAAAAATCTTAGAAACTATTGATATAAAAGCCAATAATAAAAACTGTCGATCTCGCACTTGACATAGTAAAAGTCTAAAAATTCCTACCGGCTAATTATAACGTGGAAATCACGTTCAAATTTAAACCTGGCAAAATGGAAGATGAAGTAAGAATTAACCCTACACTAAAATGCGAACGGACAGCGAGTTGAATTTTCTCTCAACAAACTGGGTGTGATTCACGCCAGACCTTTCAACAAATATCCGAATATTTTTTGGGATATTTAGAGTTTTCCGAGATATTTAGAAAATATTAGGAAATTTAGAAAATTTACGGATATTTAGAAATGATTAGAGCATTTTTTTTAGTTGAGCCCAGTGTTTTCCTCGCTATTTTTCTTGAAACAATACTCAGTTGTATGCCAGAAACAAACCAGTTCAGCGAGGCCGGATTTCTCACTTCAAAACTGCATTCCAATAATTTCATATCGCTACAAGTAATAAAGCCACTCCTTTTACTCCTGCAAGAAAATTTTGAAAAATTTTGCCTGAATGATTCAAAATCTCTTAATTTGTTTTCGAGATATTTAGAACTTTTTTTGTTATATTCAGAAAACGTTTTTTTGGTGAAAAAAAAAACAAAAAACTCTCGCTTTACTTGCCACGGTGACGCGACAGCGAAAAATCGGTTCGCTAACATGACGTTCGTAGACCTGACTTAAAATGGCTGTTTAGATCAGTTTTGATATGAACTGAATTGAGCTTGAACTTTTGATAGTACAAATGTAACGAATGAGCCGGTCTTTAAGTTATCTGAAAACAATTACAATAAAAGAAACTGAAATTTACTTTTGTTTGTATCCCGGGGTGGGGTTAAAGCCTTAAAGGAGACTAAATTGTGCGCGAATACACCAATCAGAGACAGAGAATAAAAAAAAAAAGCAATGGCGACTTAAATGGCAGTAAAGAGCTTTCATGTACGAAGAAATTGTAACGACTTCACGCTCGTTGAGTCCAAACCACCAACACAGTAATGGTGTTTTTTATCTGTTTGAATGCAACCCTGAAAGATGCTTTGTTGGTTGGGCATATAAACGTTCCGAGAACACCCTTAAATGATACCAAACGCGGCAATTTACACTCCTTAAAGAGACAAAAAGCACCATAGCCCAATTCACATGGTCTCCGGGTTGTTTGTTGTTAACTAACTTCTAAACACCACTAATTAATTCGCCATCTAAAATCTCACGTAACATTTTCTCTTCCCAATCTTGTTTCTTCTTGTGCTTGTCAAAATCCAGCACACGCTTCTTTCTCAACGCGGCAGGTAATTTCTTTTTCTTCAACTTGTTGACCATCACAAGAAGCAGTGACGAATCGTCGGCGTCTGCCTCCCTTTGGACGGCCATGTGCAGCTCCTCTCGACAGAAGTTGCTGGCGAGGTAATTCTCAGACAACACAATCAGCACTTGACGACTGCCGTACACACTATCTGCCATGTTTTCCACGATGGGCTTGCCAAGCTCGAAGTCCCGATTGTGGATGCTGTATGCAATCGAATGCTTCTCGATAATTGGGATGAGATTCTCAGTGACCCAACCAAAGTCCTTTGAACTGTGGCTGATAAAGAGTTGGTTTATGAACTCTTTTTCCACTGGGCAATCTGCTGACAACAAAGAAAACGAGAAGTTATTACAAAAAGGTTGATTTCTCCGTTCAAACCGGATGTGGCTTGGCTGCCCAGATTACTGACCTGTGACATGAACTTTTGGAATCTGACTTTTGTTCGTCCCGCACATCTGAAACTGATAGACCTAATCCAGCTAGCTACGCCAGAAACAACGGTACAAGAAGGCTACAAGGGTTTTTTCCCTAACTTCCGTGACTACCGAGATTATTCTTAAGTGCCTCAAGTGAAATGCTAATTGTCCTGCTTGAGGTAAAAACCACGAGGATAGTAAAGCTTCAAGACTGTTTTTGAGCCCAACGTTTACTAGTGGCTCATCAGGCCGGTGTTTCTCTTCGCCGTTCCCCGTAGTATAAAGTGACTGGAAGTATCTCCGCTATTCCCTGAATTTTTATCCCTTCGGCATTAAATTCGTCTCCATGGAGCATATACCGTTGGTTTCCTCTATGCTGGTTATTGAAAATAGGAAAATGATAGATAGTAGAAAACATTAGACCATGGTAAAACGATGTACGATGCAATTATCAAACACAGAAGACCGTGTTTGACCACATTTCCAAACACCGAGAAGAGAGTTGAAGATACGGCGCGCAGCGGAGTGTTTTTGACGAACTTCGAGGTGTTTCGAATATGGTCAAATACTGTCTCGAGTGTTTGATATATCTTCTCAATTGAAACTATAATTAAAGAGAAAACGGAGAGATAAAATCGTAAAAATCTATGTAATTAAGATCAAATATCTAAACACCGTCGCCGTCATGATTTCCTTTGTTTAAACTTGATTGACATACGAGGTCAAAGCACCCATAACAACGCTCAGTCAATAAATGAATTACATGATCCCTGAAGCCGTCATGATATTAATATTATGTCAAGCAATCTACCACTTACATTTTGTTTTGGAGGATGACGATGTCCTCCTTTCCTTGGCAACGAACCACACAAACAACAAGGCCAAAATGATGACAATTCCCACTGATGAAATGAGGACTGCTTGGAACCACTTTCTGTGGCTTTCTGTGGATTCTGTGGATTTTGAATCTAAAATTCAACCACGTCAGTAGAATCAGTACATTTAAGCAATAGACCACAATTTTTTATGGTTTATAGGTTAATAAACCACGCGGGATGTGGGAAGAACAAGAGAAGAATTCGTAAATCACTCGCCTGCGGCTCGTGATTTACGAATTCTTCGCGTGTTCTTCCACCATCCCAAGTGGTTTATCATGCCTCTAAACCATAAAAACTTGTGGTCTATTGCTTTTATATAACANGCTGAAGACATTTTATTACGATCTTTTGGTGATACAGTGTATGTAATGACTTATAAACCGTTTTCCTCTTTTGTCCAATCTAGTTTACAACTAATGTTTTGCTGACTGAAAAGCTTTTTGTGAAAACAGCTGCTGACAGACAATTCGAGACTGACTGACAACGACTCACCTGAATGATCCAGGAAATTGTTCGACTCACTTGAGGTGGTCCTGTATTCAGTTGATGGTTGAAACTCTGAAAATGAGAGTGGAAGAGGTTTAACCTTTGCAAAGCTAAGCAGTATGACTAAATATATTGTATATGCGGTGTCAGTAACAAAACTGAATTCGTAACCAAGGTGAGCAAGGTGAACAAGCAATCAGCCAACCAACCAAACAGCCCACCAACATGCCAGTCAGCGAACCAACCAGCCAGTCAGCCAGCCAGCCAGCCCCTTGTCAGTCAGTCAATCAGTCATCCAACCGACTAAACAACCAGCCAACTAACTAAATGACATGCCTCTCAATCACGCGTGCAGTCAACCTGCCAGCCAAACAACCAACCAGCCATCAAGTGCATTTTGTTCACGGTTTACATTTGACCATAAAGTTTTCTTACGATACCTGTAGTTGGCTGAGCAAATACTTTCAAGTCGATGGTAGCTTTAGTGGTGTTTCTGTCCTTGCAGAAGAAGTCACATCTGTATGTACCCTCGTCATTTTCTGTAACATTAAAAATAGAAAGGACGAGCTCTTTCTTGCATTGGCTGCCAGTGTCTTCTAAAGATTGATTATGTTTTGTGCCATTTCTTGGTAATGACCATAGCTGATATTCTGGGCAATATGGATTGTCAGGATTCCAATCAATCAAGCACGTCAGGTTCACATTGGAAAATATCCTTACTGAAACCTCCGTATCAGAAATGGTCGGGCCTTCTGGTATTGGACCTGTATTCAGTAAAAAAAAGAAACAATTCCCAATAAAACTGAGTTCAAAGCGATTGTACATGTTAAAAAATAACAACGAATTTTTCGTATGTAACAAGCCCGATGGATCACACACATCATGTCCGGTCACAAGACATGCTGTGAAATGGAACCCCTTGAGACTGGAGACACTGATGAACGAGGACAACACAACAAAAGATGACAGAAAGAAATAGAGGACAGTAGCACGTTACTCTCCTTCTACACCCAAGGAGCATTTCCGCCACATGTATTTTTCGGTAATTGATGTGACAACAGAGTGTATTCGTACTGGATTTAACCAGAAGGATTTCACACTCTACCAAGGCATCTGAAGCATACAGGAACTCCTTTTGAAGGCGGTAGCAGGCGAAAACCACGAAGAGGAACTAACGAAAGTGAGTGGCCGTGTAGAAGGATACTGACTAGCCGCAGTACAAGCAAGACTGACTCTAGCCGTCTCCTCTTCCAGACATGATGTAATCAATGGATTACTGACACCTCCTGATTCGACACTGTTGATTTGCTGAAGTTTTTTTCAGTCACTCGGAAAAGCCGTCTCAAACTCCTTCTTAGTGGGATTTGCACACTTGGTGAGCTTGATATAAAAGTCTTGCCGCCTACCATTGTCGTCAACTGACCGAGCTCTCTATTTTTCGCCTTTAAGCAGGTCACGACCTACCTAACGTCAACCACGAGATAAACCAGTCTCAACCACCTCACGCCTCTGCCTCTAAGGAACTAGCCTGCGAACGCAGACGTATTTCCGGCTGTCACTTGGTTCCACCGAAAAATAACGTCTGCGAACCCGGGCCAGAAAACGATTTCTGTGACGTAGGAATTCTAAGCCAATCACAGTTTAGCTCAAATAACCCCAGAACTATTGCGCGAGGTGTTCGCTGCGAGGAGCGCTCGAGTTTCATTCTATCATGGAATCTGATTGGCCAAGGAGAAACAAAAGGCATTACGTCACAGAAATCGTTTCCTAGCTCGGGTTCGCAGACGTTATTTTTCGGCGAAACCAAGTGACAGCCGGAAATATGTCTGCGTTCGCAGGCTACTAAGGAACCTCAGAAAGTCTGAAATGACCACGAACTTACCCTGATGACTCTGACAGGCGAAAGAATTGGTGGTTCCAAGATACAGGGAACATTCCAATGGGTTTGCGGGACCCAAAACCCTCTACTTTTAAAATACAACAAGTTACTTAAAACCTTTGTGCCCCTTCCCCCAGTTTCTCAAGGCTTGGTACGACCCTGTATTTTGCTTTCTTAAAAGACCCATTGAGTAGGAAATACCTGTTTTAGCTGGACTGACTTAACAACATAACTTACACTCAAAATACATTTCTATCCGACGAGATTTGTTGCTTGACCAGCCAGGAATACCGTTTGTTGCATTGCACACATAGACACCTTCCTGGTCCTCACGTCCGGGTGGAAGACGAAGTTTGCTTTGCAGCTTTAAGTGTCCCTTCCTCTGCAGTAAATGATAAATGCCTTCAGTTCCGTTGGTTATTAGTTTGCTGTTCTTGANAAGGAGAAACAAAAGGCATTACGTCACAGAAATCGTTTCCTAGCTCGGGTTCGCAGACGTTATTTTTCGGCGAAACCAAGTGACAGCCGGAAATATGTCTGCGTTCGCAGGCTACTAAGGGACCTCAGAAAGTCTGAAATGACCACGAACTTACCCTGATGACTCTGACAGGCGGAAGAATTGGTGGTTCCAAGATACAGGGAACATTCCAATGGGTATGCGGGACCCAAAACCCTCTACTTTTAAAATACAACAAGTTACTTAAAATCTTTGTGCCCCTTCCCCCAGTTTCTCAAGGCTTGGTACGACCCTGTGTTTTGCTTTCTTAAAAGACCCATTGAGTAGGAAATACCTGTTTTAGCTGGACTGACTTAACAACATAACTTACACTCAAAATACATTTCTATCAGACGAGAGGCGTTCTTCGACAAGCCAGGAATACCGTTTGTTGCATTGCACACATAGTCACCTTCCTGGTCCTCACGTCCGGGTGGAAGATGAAGTGTGCTATACAGCAAGTGTCCCTTCCTCTGCAGTAAATGATAAATGCCTTCAGTTCCGTTGGTTATTAGTTTGCCGTTCTTGAGCCAGTAAACTGTATGAGGGAGGGGCCAACCGCTGAAAACGCATTTTAAGTCCTTTTTCTTTCCTTTGATGATATCATTTGGTGAATTTGTAAATGGGCTTACAATCTCCAATGCGCCTAAAGAAAAGAGCAAGTAGATATTTTACTGAGTTTAAATATGTGACCATTNTCAAAACAACAACCATTAGTTTATTTTTCGTAATTTCTTGAGATAATGTTCATTTCAAGATGCAAATACAGTGTGCAAAACACTTTGCGCAAATTTAATTTGACAGGGAAACAAAATTGTTGATAGTCTTCTGAAGGAAAACCCAAGAGATTTGACTAAGCATTCGAAAACTCCCTTCGCCCTTAAGCTTTGAAAGGAAAGATATCATATAATGCGCTGTTGATTAAGGAGTTCCCTGACGCCCATCTAAACTACTAATCAAACAATATTAAATAAAGATCATAAAACTCTTACGTACTTGTGTAATTATACGTCGATTAGGTCGACTCATGTATGACATCGCGACAGGTCTTGTCTTGCTGTGTCATGCCATGTTATATCATGTCATATCTCATACCATGTCAAAGGGGCGGATTTGGAAGGGGGGGGGGGTTGATTGGATGGCTAGTCACCCCTCTTTTGGAGAAGCAAAACATAAAAAGTTTGGAAACGGTTGTGAATATTTCATGGAAGAAATAAAGACAAACCCTCTGGACTGGTGGCTCATCGTAATTTCTACTTTGTAGTATTGCCAGTATTTCTAGTGAAACGGTTTTTCAATCAGGATCCAATTCTTAAATTACAACATTTTGGGAACATGCCCCATTGATTCTGAAACCCCAAGGTACCATCCCCTCCCTCCCCCTCCCCCCTTGAAAAATCCTGGAACCGCACCTGAGACAGATTTAATAGTAAGAAGAAAATTCTTTTAATACGGTAGTTTTGAATTGTACCAGGGCTTAATGAGGAAACACTTACTCGCGAATTTTATAATGGTGCATCGACATGAATATTTTCCATCACTTTTCGTTGAATTTGATTGTTCTAAAACCAGATTCGACAACCCCGTACTACTCTTAACTCGTTCCGACGTTTGGTTCCAGGTCATGTCTCGAGCCAGTCCTCCTGTGATAATCGTGCAGTTGAGAGTAATGTTGGAGCCTGGATCGACCGTCATCGGATCAGTGTGCGTTTGACATCCTGACAAGGAACAGGAAGATTTTATTTCGCACTTCGTGTCCATCGCGAACGAGGCATCTGTTAAGTGAAGAGAAAACAATAAGACTACCCACCATGCATCGGTAG